AAAATAGAATGATTATGATATATATAAAAAATGAGATGGCAAAATGATATCATGAATGCAAAAACAAGTGCATAATGAATGGAAAAAATGTAGAACGAATGCAAGAAATAAATTTTAATATAAGGTTGGACCAAGTTTGGACCAAAGCTCTAATTTGCTACGGAGCTTGATTGCTTTCTTGACAACCTGTATCACAAGGACTTGAAAAAAGGAGAAATCAAAGGCATCCAATCTTATAATCAAGATAGTATACTTCCTTCATACATATTAATGTAAAATTTATGACTTGATATTATTGATATTGGATGAGTTTTATGAAATTTTATTTAATTTACATAATTTTCATGCTTTATGCTGGAGAGGACTTAATTGGAAGAAGTCACAATCCTTAGGAGTAAATTGCAAAGATATGAAATTTGAGGATTAAATTGTGCAGAATCCATAAGTAAGGGATCGGGACTGTAATTTTACCGTTAACAGAATTTGCAGAGAAGGACAAAAACCCGACACGGACTCTTGGGCACTGATGCAGAAAAGGTGTCGACACCTTTCTGAGAGTGTTGACCCCCTGCGGTTCATGCTACACATCTTTCAGCTCGACCTTGGGTAGGATTTTTGCATCTCTGCAGCTCGTGCTTGAGCGGGATGCGTGCAGCTCGTGCTCCACATCTTTTAGCTCGACCTCGGGTAGGATGCTTGCAACTCGGCATCTCGTACTCGACAGATCGAGCTCGAGTTCATCATGCTTTTGAGCTCGGCAGCTCGTGTTGGAGTTCTGCATCATGCCTTTGAGCTCGGCAGCTCGTGCTTGAATTCTGCATCGTGCTTTTGAGCTCGTCAGCTCGTGCTTGAATTCTGCATCGTGCTTTTGAGCTCGTCAGCTCGTGCTTGAATTCTGCATCGTGCTTTTGAGCTCGGCAGCTCGTGAGCTCGTGCTTGAGCAAGATGCAACTCCTGCTCCACATCTTGCAGCTCGTGCTTCAGCACTTCACAACTCATGCTCCAACAGTTCACAGTTCGTGCTCTTGCAGACTTCGCAACTCGCGCTGCAGCAAGGATTTTGCAACTCGTGCACCAGCAGGAAGTTCGTGGCTCATGCTCCAGCTGGGACTGTCATACTGGCAAGCTGCCGAGTCAGGGACTCATCTCTTGGATTATGCAAGAACAAATTCAAGAAGGAGGAAGATCCCAACTTGCTTTTCAGTAAAAGAAAATAAAACAACATCCAAAATAAAGTAAAATAATAAAAGATTAGGATTTATCTCCCCAGTAATTGTAGAGCTATAACCAAGCTCAAATGGTTTATTGCCCAAGGATGCTTGTGGTCGAAACCCGCGTCTCCTCGTTGGTTTCATAAAGTGCTGTTAATTTGTTGCAAGCACAGGCTAACCATGATCATATTTTGTTAATTGCTCGCGTCTCCCTTAACGAGCTTCATTACAAATTTGCTCGGTGCATGCCGCCGAGCTGGGAGATTGCTTTACTGCTGCAGAGCTGAGCTACTCTGCCTTGCCGAGCTGGACTGCTGCGCTGCCACCGAGTTGGACAGCCTTGCCGAGCTGGACTGCTTTGGTGCTGTCGAGCTGGGCTGCTGTGATGGTACCGAGCTGGACTTCCTTGCCGAGCTGGGCTGCTGTGATGCTGCCGAGCTGGACTTCCTTGCCGAGCTGGGCTGCTGTGATGCCGCCGAGCTGGACTTCCTTATCGTGCAGGGCTGCTGTGATGCTGCCGAGCTGGACCATTGACGAGCTGGACTGCTTTGCTGCTGCCAAGTTGGGCTGTTATGTTGCTGCCGAGCTGGACTACTTTGCCACCGTTATCAAGCTCGAGCTCATCTTATTTCATTGAGGGTGCCCCATTTATGAGCTTATTTTTCTAGGAGCTTTCATGGTCATGTGCTCACACTCTTGCATCATGGCTTCCTCTCACTGTCTCAAGCCGATTCTTTTATGCTTGCAGCTCGTGTTCATGCCACCGAGCTGGGAGACTGCTTTATTGCCGCAAAGCTGAGCTACTCTGCCTTGTCGAGCTGGGCTGCTGTGCTGCCACCGAGTTGGACAGCCTTGCCGAGCTGGATTGCTTTGGTGCTGTCGAGCTGGGCTGTCATGCTGCTACCGAGCTGGAGCACTGCTTTGAGCTTTGCCACCACCGAGCTAGACTACTTTGGTGCTGTCGAGCTGGGTGACAGCTTTGTCACTGTCGAGATCGGCGACAACTTGTCGAGCTGGGAAGCTGCTTCGTCGCTGCCAAGCTAGGGGACTACTTTGTCACTGCCGAGCTGTGTGACTTCTTTACCGAGCTGGGGGGCTGCTTCGTCGCTGCCGAGCTGGGGAGGCTGCTTCGTCGCTGCAGAGCTGAGGGATTGCTTTGTCATTGACAAGCTGGACTGCCTTGTCCTTGCCGAGTTAGGCGATGACTTTGCCAAGCTGGGCAGCTGCTTCGTCGCTGCCTGGCACTAACGAGCTGGGCGGTTGCCTCGTCGCTGCCATTAAGCTTGAGCTCGCCTTGCCTCATCGTGGTCGCCACTTTAATGCTCCCGTGCTAACCATTTCTCTTTATTTATTATTACTATATATATATATATATTTTT